TGAGTTTATAGGCATGGCAGTGATTGAATGACATCAAATGTATTCCAAGGCCAGAGGATTTTGAGCTAACACTTAATGCACCACTCCATGCCAATTGCCTCGCCCAATTTAGCAAACAAAATAACTATCCAGCCGATAATGAATATGGAAGAAACAAATAAAGCATCAAGTTTCATTACCTTCCTCCAGGGAAAGCTGAATAGATCTCTTTTCCAACTCAACAGCATGTCTACTGAGCTCAATCGAGGAGAGTGACTGAAGCACTATCAGACAAAGGAAAATATCAGGTGCATAGAATTTAAGAATGAAAAGCACTTAAGGCGTACTCTCTAGGTAATAAGCATACTTTGGATATATTCTTCTTGGTCAGATTGGTCCAATTTCCTCAAAAACATCTGCAATTGGTGGTATTGATCCTCCCAGTGTGCATTTTTTGGTCTTGTTGTATTGCCAATAGCAGGACCAGCAGTTGCAAAACTGGACTCTACTGGTGCTAACCGCATAGCAGAGTTTCCAATTGAGAAAGGAACTGAAGGTTTACCAGATGAGCTCACAGAAGAAGTCATTGGAAAAGGTGCAAAAGCAGGAAAACAAGAGACCTTTGGCTCCTTTATCTGAGATTTTGGTTGAGCAGTCTCATCTTCACCAGGTTGCCTGGAACCTGAAATTGGACTATAGGCACTACTACTCGGGTTCCCACAAGCAGTGCTCTTGCCCAAGTCTGCTTCAGCTTTTCTACGTACATAAACAAGATGTCCATTTCCAGCATTATTGCCTGGAGATTGGGGGTGATTGTGATTCATTGGGAACTCAGAAGAGGGTCTCTTGGTGCCTGAAACTCTATTAGAATCAGTACAGCGGCCCTTCTCCTTTAAAATTGAGGAGCCTCCAATAGAGGCTGAAACTGTGACCCTATTATCATTCGGCAGCTCTCTCAATGCTGTCTTCTTCACTGTAGCAGTCAATAGCTTATCACCTGGCAAACCTGTTTTAGAGCTGCCTGGACCAGGCTCAGTTTTAGAATCTACACTTTGTTGGGCCATTTCTTGCTGGCTTGATAAAAAGCCAAGATAGTAAGAAATATGAAGCATGGGGTCAACAGAATACAAGTCAGATGTTGAATTGTTAGGTAACAATAATAAAATTATGAAGCCAACAAAGTCAATATAATGCAAAGAAACGGGAAATCCTATAAGACATCAGTTGATGCTTTTTCAAGGGAGAATGGGAGATGGAAAAAATGAAGGCTTGTATTTTTGATCTCTCTAAATTGTTTATAAAAGTAAACTTGTCCCCTCCCCCCCTTTGGTAATTAGATTGATCATATCTTATTATTAATTTGAGTGAATTGGGAGGCGAACGAGTGATGGGGGCAAGGGGGAAAGAGTGGGCTGGAAACTACTCCCTTACCCTTAATGTGAGATTACAAAAATGCTGATTAGGCCATCCGTTTTAGTGACGTGTTACTTACCCAGTACAAATTGTCGACCAGGTCACCTAGTATTAGTAACCATTCCATCTCATGCTACCCTTAAAAAACCAAAGTTTCCCATATCCCTTTGAAATTATGGTTATTATCAGAAACAGGAGCTAAAAAGCAGGTAGGCTGAGTGAGATTGAAAAAAGAGGGAGCGGGAAGTCGTTGATAAAGCAAAGGTGAATTTTGATCAAATAGTCTGCAATGCAAAGCCTTGAGCTATTGCCTCTCCTTCTAATAAAACCAGTTAGTTCCTTGATGACATGAATCTGTGTATAACATGTCAAATGAACATATAACCACTTTCCAGTAATATCAATGCATCTACCAGCCACACAAAAAGAGACTTGTGAGATCGTTCAAAGTCAAAATTGAACGACATTAACCCTGAAGAGCAAAATATCGACAATCATAAACGACATTAGTTTACATTAGATTATCAGACATGCTATTTAAGGAACATGGCGGTCATTATATATATAGATATATATATAATCAAAATGAAGAATCGCAAACAAGTATTACAGTGATGAGCATTTCCCTCTTTGTGAAGGGAGATTCATCGAAAGATGACAAAAGTAGAATACCTATTTCATCCTTCCACTTGGCAATATCTTCGTGACCGTCGTCCGTGATAGCTGGGTTTAATGTCTTGCCCTTGCTTCCTAGACGACTTCATGCAAAACACCAGAAGAAGAAGAAGAATAAGAAGATGCGGCAAAGCAACCAACGAAGCGGCAAAGAAGTCTGGCTGAGCAAGGGAGAAGAAGAACGACGAAGAGGGCGACCTAGCGCAGGAGCCACAGAGATCGAATGATCCCATCCTGTAAGCCTTGAATCCTACCCGTCCAAACCATCCAACCACACACGATGAGACACGTCATGAGGCTTTTATGATCGCATCTGAACTGTCCGTCTCGATATGCTCCTGATCGTCCATTCAATTTACATACTTCCCCGTCGAAGTGCTAAACCCCTCCGCGACGCAAAGGCCTTGTTTGGTTCAACGAAGGAAATAGAGGTTAATTAAAAGAAAAAGAGTGGAGGAGAAGGGAGGTCATAATTTTTTAGTTGGAAGGGAAAAGAAAGGAGGAAAGATTTTTTGTTTGATTGATAAGAGGAGGGGAGAAGGGGTAACTATAAATTGACAAATATATCATTATCTCTATATTTAGACTGATTTATTTTTTTATTACAATATTTATATCAAAATTATTATTTCTTAATTTATCAATTTTAAAAAAACCAATTACCTCACTTACATGTGATAAAAAAATGATAAAACTAAAAAAAAATAGAAAATATGATACAAAAGTTTAACATTCTATCTCATTAATTTTATAATATATGTATTAATATATATGATATGTATATATGATATAATTATAACAAGAACGTTATGATATGTATATATTAATATATATGCATGTTATATGAGATTATAATACACACAGTTATGATATATATATTAATATATATGATATGTATATATGATATAATTATAACAAGAACGTTATGATATGTATATATTAATATATATGCATGTTATATGAGATTATAATACACACATGTTATGATATATATATTAATATACATAATATGTATATTATATAGTTATAGTATTATATTATTATTGTCAAATATTATTAGTGGTTAAAAAGAGAAAAAGTGAAAAAAGATTTTTAATAAAATAGACAAACTTAGAATGTTGAAAAGTTGGAATGGGTAGTTTGATTAATATCAGATACTCCTCCGGTCCTTAATATAGGATCCAATTCTTGAGTTGGTTTTGGTCCTAAATATAAGACCCATTTCTCATATTTATCAATTTTCTCTAAATTACCCCTATAGATACTTCTTCAACCATAATCAAATAGAAGAGAAAAATGGGGTATTAAGAAAGATGATTGTGGTATTTTAGGAAAAATGTGTCACTTTTCTTATAATTAACTAACTTACCTAACTTCCTTAATCTAATCAAATTAGTTAAATGGGTCTTATATTAAAGACCGGAGGAATATAATATTTCTTCTCTCTCCAGAAAACCTTAAATTTAGAAAACAAGTTTCTTCCTTCTTTTTATTTTTTTATTTTTTCTAACCAAACACACTTGTCTCTTTCTCTTTCCTCCCTTCTTTTCCCTTCTCCTCAACAACCCTCCAACCAAATAGAGCCAAAAGAGCTCCGAGCTCCGTCGTTACCCATGGTCAGGCCTCTAAATTACCTTCATGCCTTTGCCTTTCTCAATTGAATTATTTCCCCATTGTTGGTGCTTCTCTGTCGTATTAAATTTCATCGATTCTCAAAATTGCTTATCTGACTTGAACTTTTACTTGGCTTAATTGCGACTTACATGTGTGATGTTATTCTAAGAAAAGCTCATGCAGGGCCTCTGCTGGATACCCTTCCCTCAGTCGGAGGGTTCTCTCCATGGGGGAGCCGATGCATTGAGCATCGCCTTTCCGGCATAGGCCGGCTGTGTGTGTGTGTTTCATTTGGGTGTGTGTCTGAGATTTCTTGGTGGCTTGGTGGTTTGGGGGTAAGGTGGATCGAATCATCGAAGGAGGGATGGTGGCGGAGGGTGGTCGGCGTTGGGGTAGTTCGGCGGTAAGGGGTGAATGGCTGGTGAATGATGTGCGATGGAATGTCTTGGAAAAGCATCAACTGATGTTTATAAAACAATTGTCTCTGTTGGGCTTCATATTTCTTACTGTCTTGTAAAGATCAGTTAGGCAGCTTGACCAGATCTGGTTAAGCTTACTGGTCCATCTTGCCGCAAGCATTTTGAACTTTCAGGATTCTCTTCCTCTTTAGATGATATGTAGATGAACCTGATTGCCTTGGGGGAAGCTTTCCCGCCAAACTCAGCTAGCAGAACGTTGAAGGTTCATTGTTTTAAAGGCCTCAAATACCGGCCGCCAGGATTATGACGAGACCTATGGTTCAGATGCAACTTTAAATACTTCTTGACGTGTCTCTCTGTGAGTGGTCTGATGGGATGGGATACTAGGATATTAAGGTTCGGAGGGATGAGGAGAAAGTAGAAAATTATCTAGTATCTACTGTTAAAATAATATTTTTATGCCATGTAGTGCAGGTGAAATTGAGAGGTGCACGCTCATCACCTGATAAGTAATCTAGATTTAAATGATCCAGATTTAATATTATTAAATAATTATTTTAAAATAAAAAAATTATATTTTTAAATAATGATAGTTAAGAGATTATTTTTATTTTTTATTCTATACTTATTAAAATAATTATTTTTAAAAAATAAAAATAAAAATAAATATAAACTGTCCAAATCAGATCAGACAGTCCAGATCTAATAAGCATTGAGTGCTTATCAAAATTGATAATCACCTTATATAAATCCGAAATTGAGATGAGATCCATGTTTTTGCAAGGGCAATGGAATTGTTCCCGAATTAAAAAAGAAAAAATGGTTCTGCCATTAATTAATTATTACGATAAAAAGTATGCACTGTATGCAATAAAATCTATGGCTATGGTTACTTGGTTAGTAAACTAATAATCAGATGCGCCACGACTTTCCGTACATGGCGGCCTTGTTGGTTCATAATCGCGCTGTAAAACACATGTCCGTCTCCTCAAATTTGTGTGAACATTCGCCTCTCGTCTGCTCCGTTCCCCGGAAGCCACTTCGTGTGGTTGTAAGGACCCTCATTTGGTATTGCTTTTTCTGTGTGTTTAATTGCTCCTTTTTGTCGATTTATATACTCACTCCTCTTGATGATGTTTAACGCTAATCAGTTTACTACAGTATCTGGGGTTCTGACGAAAATTACCTTTTTAATCCTCAAAGAAAGATTCTCTGGGTTTTAACGTTTGCTAAGCAAGTTCCGTTCACTGTGGGGTTTCAGATTTCACGGGGGACGGAGTTAAATCTCACTTTTCGGCGTCGACAACAGTGCAGCTGAGATCCCACAGTACGTTTTTCTTGTTCTGCGCCTTACTGTGTTCATAGATTATTTTTGTTCTGTTAATACTGTTCACACAATTCAACTTCTTTAGATTTTCTTGGGCTATCAATATTCTCTGTGGAGGTGGAGGAACAACCCCAAGATTGTGTGTAGAGTTTTACATGCATCAGCTTGCAGATGTCAATTATTGTTTTGGTGGGACGAATGCCAAAATAGCTGTTACGCATGCATATCACAAAAAGAAAAGCGATTTTGTGTTCGAGTTTTATTTTCTTTCGATTTTGATTTCTCCATTTTTGCCGTATCTGGTGCTTCATAGATATTAGGTCACATGTATGGGATTTATCGATATTTTATTTGATATCATTAGGCTTCTAGCGTAATAAAGCGAACCTCTATCAGTCATGAATCAAAAAGATGCTGTACAAGACAATCCCAAATCGTGTTCGAAGAAAGCAATCCCACCTTATATGAAAGCAGTTTCTGGCTCGCTAGGAGGTGTTATGGAGGCCTGTTGTTTGCAACCCATTGATGTCATTAAGACCAGATTGCAACTTGATAGGTCCGGAAACTACAGGGGAATAGTACACTGTGGTACCACAGTTGCTCGAACAGAAGGGGTGCGAGCTTTATGGAAGGGATTGACACCCTTTGCTACACATTTGACCTTGAAGTATGCACTGCGAATGGGTTCAAATGCATTATTTCAAACAGCATTTAAGGACTCTAAGACTGGGAAAATTAGCAGTCAGGGGCGGCTTCTTTCTGGTTTTGGTGCTGGGGTCCTTGAGGCTCTTGTGATTGTTACTCCATTTGAGGTTCGTGCTTTTATGCTTCTATTTGTCACTGACAATTAGGTCATACATTTTCGATTTAATTTGGTTACACATTGATTGAATTTAATTGCTGCTCGAATCGTAACTTTATGTAATTAATTTTTGCTGTTGCTGCTTGAGATTAGACTTTAGCTTGAATTTTCATGTTGGAGCTTATTGGCTTGTTTCTGGATTTTTGACATTTTGAGGAAACTTCGGTTTGCTGTGAATGTGAAATACGTTAGATTGACACGGATTTTTTATTCGTAGACTTGCTCTTCTTTTCTCTTTTGCAAATTCAAATGGGAATCTTGCAAGGTAGAATTCCACATCCTTCTTGTTGCTTTTCTCACTTAAAACAATTCTGCTGATCTTGGATGGTCTCGTTCTTGGCAACTGGTTATCTTTTACACAATAAGCTTGCATATGTTGTCTAGTATTGGGTTTAGTGATGTCTCTATCACTCTGCAAAGACCAGCTAACCAGCATGACTAAATGCGGATCTGCTAGTCCGTCTTGAGTTGCCGCAAGCGTTTTAAATCTTCAGGATTCTCTTCCGCTGGACTATTATTCTTTTTGCTCCCATTCTGATCTGAAGTTTACGGGTTGGGGAAGTGGGGAATGATCAATAAGAAAAGAAAAAGGGTACTGGACTACTGATCCTCACTTTCATCCCTCTTCTTGTTGTTGCACCTGTTGTACCTGACAAGCATGTATTCATTTTTCTCATTCGCATTTTCATTGCTCCCTTGAAGTTGTGTCTTGCATTTTTAATTAGATGAAGTAAAAATTAAAGCTTTTATAGGTCATGTCAAGCTAGATGGTTGGGCCCAGAAGTTTGCTTGTTGGGATTAACAATGATGATGACATGCTGCTTGTTTTCTGGTTGTCTGCAGCACTAGTGATCCAAGATATTTCTGTGTTTTGTTTTATAATTGTTAATGATATGCAAATTAGCGGATTTAATCTATCTTGGCCACTAACATTATCAACATCTATGCATTGACTGTCTGTGGAAAATGATGTAGTGGTTAACGTTGGTAATTTAGCACGATCTTGTTGCAGGTGGTGAAAATCAGATTGCAGCAACAGAGAGGCCTAAGTCCTGATCTTTTGAAGTACAAGGGACCTGTACACTGTGCCCGAATGATTATAAAGGAAGAAGGCCTTTTTGGGCTTTGGGCTGGGGCTGCTCCAACTGTAATGCGCAATGGGACAAATCAAGCTGCCATGTTTACAGCCAAAAATGCTTTTGATATCCTTTTATGGAAGAAACATGAAGGAGACGGGAAAGTCCTTCAACCATGGCAATCCATGATCTCTGGATTTCTTGCAGGTACAGCAGGCCCTATCTGCACTGGCCCTTTCGATGTAGTGAAAACAAGGCTAATGGCTCAGAGCCGAGCGGGAGGTGAGTTGAAGTATAAGGGCATGATCCATGCCATCAGAACAATATATGCAGAGGAAGGGCTTCGTGCATTATGGAAAGGTCTGTTGCCTAGGCTCATGAGAATTCCACCTGGCCAGGCCATTATGTGGGCTGTGGCTGATCAAATAATTGGTTTGTATGAGAGGAGATATCTACATAGTGCTGCATTGTAGGTACTTCTCACATTGTCTTTTGCCGGCTCTGAACCATGTCAATTTTGTTGCTATCGCATGCAGATGACGATGTTAGGGTTTAGGCTTCTAACCCGAGATTTATTTCTTTAATCTCTTGAATTTGATGGGTGACACTTGGTGCCTTAGAAAATAACTTTTAGCTGGGAAAAACAATCATATTTGTTAGAACTAGCGGGATTGTAGCAAACTGAATCTGCCAAAACGCTTGATACTGTTGGTGTACTCTACAAAATATGTTTCTTGTCAAGTTCTTGCTGCCTCTATTTTATGGATTCCTGGACTAGTGCTGTTCACTACTCTGGTAGGTCGTTTTCTTTTATTGTTAGGAAAAACTTGTGTCCCTATTTGAAACCCATTTTACAGATGGCAATATCCAGAATTCAGTCTCAACCATGCCCCAAAAAAGGCTGAAAATCCCAATCTCCATGCGGGCTGATGTTAAACTACCACAGAGGGCCCATTCTGATAGGTCATGCTTTTTTTCTTCTGGGGGGTGCAATTCTGATGGGCCATGCACAAGACGAGAAAAAAGTGCGTATCAAGTTTTTAATAAGGCCCAAGAACGACATTTTCGTCGTAAGCCCAATTATTAGACAGTTCCTTTAGTTTAGCCCAATTTCGTTAATCTTGTCCGGTGTGGACACATGTATTATATTTTTTGGGCCGGTAGAACACATAAATTATTGAACTTTACCAATAAAAATGAGTTGAATGACTAACTGGGATTGATTTTAGCGAAAAAGATTAATCTCATTTACTACTCAACAGTGTTTTAAATAACATTGTCTTTAATAAGATGTGCTTTGTAAAAGAGGGGGGGGACAAGTTGAATGTGTTGGATAAATAAAAAATTATTTTCCCATTTCTATTTTTTAAAAAAATTAAATTCTGTTTCTTATTATAAGAGACATTTGATGCTTATGACATATTTTTATATATAAGAGACACTTAAAAGTTGTCTCTATTTTTTTGTATTGATTTTCTATTTTATCCCTATTTATTTTGTCTCCAACTCATACTCTTTCTTCTTTCCACTTCTCTTTCTTTTAATAATTTAATTGTTCTCTCTCATACCCTCTCTCCTTATTAATGGGGGCATTGTTGGAAAAAGCATTATACTTTTTACACATTAATTGTCCTCAACTAATTTTAACTGTTTTTTTAATCAACGTAATTTGGTTATTTGTCTCTTATAATAAGGAATGGAGAGAGTACTGAATTATTAAAAAAAATTCACTTTTTTTTTTTCAAATATAGCTTGCCGTGCCAAACTAAGCTGTCAACTGTATAACCTACTCTTTCTATTAAAAAAATATTGGACTTTTCAAAAATTGAAATTAATACTTGAATGATTAACCTGTCCCATCAAAAAAAAAAAGGATTTACCTGATAACCTTAAAAATAAAAATGAATGAATTCTCCAAAACACTAGTAGTAGTTGTGCTTTCAGATGACAATGTCTGGGTTATTGAAATCCAATAACTTGTGGCTGGGTCCCTATCAGGATTCAATTGCTTCCATTAATAATGCCCAATTAATTTGGTCTATCAAATTAATGTAACACTCAGAAGTTAGAAGTCAGAACAAGACAAGGATACTCTCGAGTCAATAACCATTCCACCCAAAACCAATAACTCCAAGTCAAATGACGTATTTAAGTTGTGATTGCAGCGTCATTGACGAAGACCATTTAATACACAAAGACTATTCAAATACATTATCTTTGATCTTTAATATAATATGTATTTAATGGGTTGAATTAGATTTTAAATATAAGATCTCAACCTGTCTTAATGTCTTATCTTCCAAATGTATAATTTCTCCCCCTAAAATATCCATTTTAAATGTAAAATTTTCTCATCAGAAGGTGATTTCAATACGCATGATTAAATATGATAATTTTAGGAAGTCAAAATAATTTTTTATGAATAAATAACAACTTAACTAATTTTTTGAATATCTTCAAATTAGTTATTTAACTCTTATATTAAGAACCGGAGGTGTCTGATCCAATCGTTCAAAGAAGAAGTGGTTGGCAAGTGAAGAAAAAAACGAGTACTGCCACTAGCTCTATAGTCCCTTTCCCTGGTTTTCACGCTTCGTTCAGTAATTCACCCTCTCATTCTCACTTGACTGAGCAAAGTCAATTTTCTATGCCTCTTGAGGTAGAGTTCGTGACGCAAGCATGAAGCGTAATGAACTTGTAAACCATATTTATATGTCATGTCTTGCGCTACTCAAGCACCAAATATCCTTCATTGTTTTCTCACCACAATAATTAAATCCCACGTTTTCAAATATTATTGGCTAAAAAAAATTGTCCTTTTCATCTTTACATTCAAATATTATGAGTCTACCTCATCTTTTTTTAATATATATATATATTTCCTTTTGTATTTATGCAAAGTCTAAATAAAAAATTAGTCTGACTCCTTTATAACCTTGTAGTGTACAATAGGAATTAAGGGTTTTACCATCTAAGCAAGATGGCAAAAATCTCTTTAAGCAATATTAAGCTATTTGAATAAGTTAGAAAGAGCGTTTATATGCTTTACGATATAAATTTTTTCTTGCATATTTATTTTATATAGTGTAAAATTAATTCTTTATAATTAATTCAAGTGAAAATTTTGTTGTATATACAATCCCAAAGTATTAAAATTCTTTGTAGCTTCTGAGTCTATGTTCCGTTGATACCTTTCCCTACAGAACCAACCTATTTTTCCCTAAACCGTATGAAATGCATATTTCAATTATAAAAGGAGAGAATTACAATGAAGTTTTGAAAAAATAATAATTATTTAAAAAATTCTAATAACAATCTAAACAGTTTGAAATGACAACATGTGTGACTTGTTTTGTAATTTCTTTTCTTTCTTAAAATCTCATTATAATTCTCCGTTATAAAACCCTTCCACATGGTCTATAATATAGTCTTTCTGTTTGAAGTATTATCTTTTTTCCTCTTAAATATCCTCTACTCTTGAACTAACCTTCTGACTAACTAAACAACTTTTTTCCTTCTAATCAATGAATTTTATGGAGGAAAATTTCAAAAATATTAAGGTACTTTGATCAATTTCCTCAATTCATGTGAAATTGCAAGACTCAATTAACTACTCAATGTGAATTTAAAAAAAAAAAAAGGAGATAAATCAAACTGAAGAGCCTAACTTTGGGAATTAGACAAAGTTTCGTGGATCATCATCATACGAATCAAAGAACCTAAAAGGGATAACAAGAGGACAACAAAAACAGAGTGAAGTTAGGTGCAATTTCAGGGGCAAACGTCACCAATTTAAGTACTTTGCACTCATAGAATAAATAGGGCCAGAGGCTCTCAATCTGCAGGCACATTCTATCATCAATCACTTTATTTAGGACATCAGGCCAGTCCATGAACCAAGTTGAAGAACCTAACCTAACTTTGTCAAGAGGACGACAAAAACAGAGTCAAGTTGGGTACAATTGTATAGCTAAATATCAGATTCAATATCTAATGTAACTTTTCGTGCAATTCTCAGTGAAAATTTATCAGGGTCGAACTGGCTGAGGCAATAGTTTAAGAATCAGTACTCAGTAGTGTGAATTGAGATCAATTTGGAGTCAGACTGGTTATAATTAAAATAATATGATTTAATTAAAACATAACATATTCATGTATAATCCTAAAACAAATGATATTTAAATAATAACAAGAGATTAATTCATAGGTAAATAAGATATTGATGTATAATCCACACATAATCAAATAAAACATTGTTACTAAAGCACAGCTATAACATAATGTTTTCTTTTTATTTTCTCAACTCAAAACGATGTCGTTTCAAGTTTAATAGGGAGAGAAAGAAATATAGAATTTAATTCGATCAACTCATCTAAAACTCTTAACTGTTACCAGGGAAAAAACTGATTTACTAGTTCACCAGCCTGACCAAGCGAAATAAGTTGGGTTTTAATATCATCACAAACAACGCTTTTCAATAATTTAGAGAAATGAAATGATAATTAAAAAAATCATTGATTATAATATAATTAACCAAAGGATGTAGAGAGGATACACTAAAAGTTATAGGGAAAATTAAAAAAAAATTAATCATTAGAAAGTCTAAATAATAAATGAGCAGCATAGCTTGGGCTGTTATTTCTTGTTTTATAACTCGTGGTTGCTTATTATAAACCTTTTGGGTAATAATTTCTTTTTTAATTTCAGGGATATTTTGGTAGAAACTAACCATAGTTTTAAAAGTAATCTTACAGTATACAAATAAGTATGTAAAAAAGGTTTTGTCTTAATCTTTATGAAAATATTTTTTAAAAGTATTTCTGACTTTATCGAACGTTCAAAATTGGTTAAAGAGGGCCATCTAGCACTGTGTCCTTGTAAAATCAATTGGATGAGCCTCACAGTTTCCAGTTACATTCAATCATAAACATATGGACTCCATTAATCCACTTCATTAGGACCAGCCAGCCTCCTTTTTCTCCAATAAGCTCCCTTCTTTACTTGTATTCATGGGGGACCACCCTGCAACTCAGCATGCCAGATCCTCACTTATTCTTACGACATTCACACGTTACAATGACCTCATCATCATTTATATTTATATAATACCACCTCCGATCCTAATTATAAGAGCTAGTTGAGTAATTTGAAAAGATTAAAAAAATAAGTTAAATTAATTATTTATAATAAATAGATTTTGTTTTTTCTAAAATATCTTTTAATCAAATATATTGGCTAAAACTATCATTATTAGAAGGACTACTTTGAGAAAAAAATATATAAATATGAAAGACAAAGCGGATTAGATCTTATATTTAAGATCAAAATAAAATAAAATAAAGTCTTATATTAAGGATCAGAAGTAGTATATATAAAATAAATAAATAAATAAAAAAGAGAATGTAATCTTGAGATAAGATTGAAGAGAGAAATTAAAAAGTCAAAGTCTCAAGAGTTTTTGGGTGGCAGCTCGTTGTGGGGCGAAGAAGGAAGAATATAATGCACATATAAAGCACAAGAGTCCAAGTGCTTTTGACGTCAACCCATGAGAATGCCTTCGTCTAATTATAAATTAACCAAGCCAGAGTAAATAATTACATTCACAAGCTCACTCTCTCTCGTCCTTATGTAACCTATGATGTTTAATTTAGTTAAAAAAATATAACCTACAACATTAATTTAAAATACACACACATAACAAATACGAGGATACAAATTAAATTAATTAATTAATTACCACTAGGATTACCCATCACCAACTCTTATTTTGGTCAAAC